GTAGTGTTTCAGATATGCAGTCAATTTTTTTATAAGCGTCCATTTAGCATATACATATAATATATGATCCTATTTGGCAACAAAAGCACAAATGCACATTTTAAATTATAACGTTTTAACAGAATACCACTACACTAAACTAAATGCATAATAACTCATTTATTTATAAACTTACACATACATGCACTAACACATATTAAGTGGTATGACGTACCCTCTTTAAATATCATACAATAAATAAATAATAATAAATAAATAATTTTACTATAAATAAAAATCAAAACGTTAATAACCAATTAAAATTTTAAATAATTCTTACTTTTTATTACAAAAATGCCTAATTTTTTAAAGTTTAATTTAAACAAACTAATGTTCTTTTGATGTAATGTCATAACAAGCTTAAAATAAAAAATAATTTTTATAAGTCGCGTACGTAAACAGTAAAATCTGAATTTTTCTGGGGGATTCGAATAAATAAGTTAATTTATCATTTCTTTTCACGATATTTATACAATTTAATTCATAAGTTTGTTTATTAAATATTGTGCTCAGTTGGTTGTTTAAATATTCAACAAATAAACTAATTATTTGCTATTTAATTAGTCTCATTTTAAACGAATTATAACTTCCGAAAACTAAATTTAAAGCTGGTAATATGTATATATATAATAAAAACATTAAATATTATTGTGGAGAAATATATATTTTAACCAAAAGTTGTTTACGATATTCATATATACCAATATAAATAATAAAAAGGTTTTTTTTTTTTGGAAAATCAAGAGTTGTACTTAATCATACAAAAACGTTATACAAGAATTGGTATGCATTTTAAGGTTATATAATGATTTATTTTGAATAATTTAATTTTAAATTTTGATCAATTATTTTGTAAATAGAGAACAAAATTAATATTTCATTGAAAAATATTTATTTGTTTGTGTATATAGTGGTTATAGATATTTTTTTGTAATAATAATAGCATATAAATATATTTTAAAAATAACTGAAATGCATTTTGCTTAAAACTTTGAAACTGTGTAATTGTCAAACAATTTTCCAATCTTTTTAGGAACTTTGTCAAATTTTTTGACATGACTCGCATTTTGCATGAAAAATTATTTACAAATAATAATAATAAAACAAATTATTATAAAACACGGTCTGCTTACATATTAAAATGTACTTATAAAACTTTATAAAATTGAAAAATATAAACATATTCTTTCGACTTGCGTTACATTTGAAACTGCACAATGCTTGGATTAAAAATATACTATACTACACAAAATAAGCACATTAAAATATTTATAAATTACAAATGGTATAAAAATAATTGCATTTAAAGCATATTCTATAAATTGTAATGATGTATGAATATATATTATTTGATAGAAAACCTAAGATTGGCACTTCCGGAAAATTCCAGAACACATAAAATTAAAACGTATCTCTGCATTTGTTTTTCTAATTATTGGTATATTATTTATTTCAGGTATTAAAATATTTTAAAAAGTAATTTTACTATAATAAAACGATGATAAGCTGAGGTAATTAAAATTAGTGAGTTAATCATTTAAATATGAATAATTGTTTTTTGAGAATTTTACTTTTACTAATTTTTGATCTGATAGTTAAGACAAAGCATATTGTATTTTGTATTTAATTTGTACAATGGAGTCTAACTGCATCACTTTGTCTCTGTGAAACTATTGAATAATTATTATTTTGTAGTATAACCAATAAGTTTTACATGAATGTTAACATTACTAATTATTAAATAACTTTGAATTGTTATCTTGTTAAAACTTAATATTTTATATTCGCATCCAATATAGTTAAATACACGAAATATCTCACATTTTTCTAATCGTGTAATGACGTTCAATAACATTACTGTATATTTTTTTATAGAAGTCAGAGACTTAAAAACATTCAGTATTATTATAAATTTTATCAATAGTATTTTTAGTATAACACAAACTACAAAAAAAACCTAACCTAACCTCGGTTTTCAAAAAGTTAAAACGTCTTTGATAGAATTTTTTTATAAATTTAAACTGAATAATTGTAAATTTAATTCAAGGTTCTTTATAGGTTGTCGTTACTGAAATTAAAAATATAAATTAGAGGTAATTACACTAATATTTTAAATAAAATATAAAATAGTATTAATAAAAATAAAATTAACTCACTATAATATTTATAGTAAAATAAATTACTTTAGCAACAATATAAAAAACATATTTTAGGTACTTATAATAACATAGAATGACCAACCGCCTTTTCTGAGAATCGTTTATTGTATGCTAGCTATGATTTATCATTGAATTTAAATTAAATATATACATTATTACTGTGACTTACTTGAAGTAGAAATATATTGAGTACTTATACTATACAACAGAGTAACTATCTACTTTTTAAAATTAATTTCTGATGTATTAAAAGAAAATTAAAAATACATTTTTGTCACGTTAAAGTTGACTATGTATTATGTTTGATTAAAATAGTTAAATATACATTATTATTTAACATGCCCAATGAAAAATCAATGATGAGAATGTTTCGATATTGCTGACCATTCACGAGTATTCTGGGCAATAAACCCCAATTTTCGCTTTCAATAATTTACAACCTTAAATCTTCCGTGTTTTTTCGTTGTACTATAAAAAAAAAAAAATGTTTATATTTGTAGTGTGATACATTTTTAATTTAATTCATTAACTATTAAAAAATGAGGATTTAGTTTTATTTTTTTCACTAATATTTACACAATATAGACCTGAGCACTTATTGTTAGGCACATTACTTAAATATAAATATTTAAAACTATTTTCCAATTTATTAACTTAAAAATCATCTTATATTTTCGACATGGTTTCTTACACAATGTGTCTCACGAGAATTTCCTAATTTAAAAATACCACGCTAATGGAATCAATACTACACCGCCACTTTAAATTAACATACTCTCATGAGACATTCTGTATATTGTAATTACTAAATAAGAAAGTTGTTGAGCGGCATATCGTATAAATGCATATTTTAATGTTTATCCACTAAATCAATAACTAGGTAATAACTGTCTTTTATTGGAAAATTTCTTTTAATTGACCGTTTAAATTGTATATTATTAATAATAATAATTTATTAGGAATGTACAATTGATACCTACAATTTCACTTAAAAATGTCTAATATTAACAAAACCATTATAGTATTTATATTATTCATTTTAGTTTATTTTATTTCTGTGTGAAAAAAATAAAATAAAATACTAATTAGTCAGGTACTTGTGGTAAATTAAACGCTTCAAATATTTTATTACGTAGGTTTTATATACTTTCAATGATACCTATCTTTAATCATATCATGTTATTATATATGTAAGTTGTTATTTATTTAAAGGCATTTCGAGATTACGTTCAATGATTAAACTATCAAGATTAACCTAAATTGTGAATAATTTATATAAATAAAAGAATATACACACTGACCGTCGTGTAATTTAGCAAAACAACGCGTTCATTTTCTATAAAAAGCCTAACAGCTCGTTAAGAAATCCACGAAAATCTTCAATTTTCAATTCATTGAGTGATATGTTTAGTTATTATTAAAATGTAAGTATCTGCTTTGTAGATATCTTAATTAGTCTAATAAAAATTGAAATAGCAAATTTCTACATCTAAAAATGAGTTTATCTAAATCATTTTTTTTATATATTTTTATATTGACTTAACAAATAACCTATATCTGCTAATAATAATAGTGATAATGATGATAATATGTTCATATATTTTGTTTGATTGATGTGATTTTGAAATCTTTTACATGGTATACATATATAGATGCACAAGATAATGTGTAAAAAGAAAAAATAATTCATTGATAATTTATAATTTTAATCAATATACCTATGCGTTAATGAAAAATGGTATTGGAATCGCGACAAGTGTATTTTATAGTTTCCACTTTCCTAAAATTGTTTTAGAAAGTAAAAGTCATAGCTATACCTATACCTATTCCCGAAATAGTATAGACTATATTTTTTATATATTGTAAAATGTTTATATTTATTATGTATCTCTTATAATACGTATTACAAAAATACATTAACATCTTTATTAATATCTTATTTGAAGTTTCCGAGTTACTAATCATTGTTTATTACCGAGATTTTTTGCACAGTTGTCCAACAATAGTAAAAAATTATACATCCTATAATTTCTAAGCATGTTATTTTAACTACCATAATATTTCTTTTTCTTATTATTATTATTATTTATTTATTTTTTTTTTTGCTTGGAATTTGTTGTTTCCGGCCACTGCAGTCTCGTATATCCGGAATGAAATCGTTGATGCAACCATTATTTATTTAGAATTATTATTAGATAGGTCTCGGGCCCATCTGTTATTGCATTATATTGCTCAATTTGTCATGAAATTTATTGCATCCGTTTTAAGGATCATATTATAACTTGAATTGGTTTGCATTATAAAAAAAAAAAATATTTCATTCCTATAAACATATTATGGAATATATGGGTATCGGATAATCTGAAGTTTTATCTATCTACATAGTCTGGATAATTATTTTATCTCAAATCGATACTAAACTACGGTTCAATCAGTATGCGTTATTTATTTTTATATTTTATTTATAACATAAAAAATTAATTTATGTGAAATTTGACTCTTTGGAGTTAAACACAAATCCAATTTATAAATGCGTATTGTGTGTGTGTGTATGTGTGTTTGTTATTGTATTTACAAATAAAATAAATAAATGACCAATTATTTCAAAATTTAAAATTCCAAATAGTATATTTAATAATTAAGCAATAGTAGGTATATACTTATGTATTATATTATAATATTCACGTATAGAATATTATAAAAAAAAAATACAAATCTACGTGTAAATAATTATGGATGTAAACTGAGAAAAACGTCTTTATTCATTGCATAATTGCATAATATTTTATTATTTGGTTTCAGGGAGAACTTGTGTGGTTTGACCCAGGTGTTGGCCATGTCTTACCCGGAGAAGTTTTGGAGTACCATAAACCTGCTCAAGTACTCACTGTACAAGCTGTTATTGCAGGGAAAGTAAGTCCTAAGTAAAATATTTGCTATTACAATCTTATTTTAATATTTTTGAACTCGATAGACGCAAATATTTTCGCTTACAAGTTCCAACGGTGTTAACCGTCGACAAGATCTTGGTCAAAATGGTATTGAAGATATGATACAACTTACGTAAGTAGTTCCTTTTCTTTTTTTTAAGAATAACAAAAAAAAATAGACTTAAATTGTTATGTGTATTTTGTACATATATTTTTAGGGACTTGAACGAGGCTTCGTTATTGTGGAATTTGAAAATTCGATATGACAAAGAACTTATATATGTAAGTACCTAAACTCGCATCACAGCATACATGTATAATGTACGTTTATCAAAATATCGTTTAAAAAAATAAATATAAAAATTGTTTTTTATGGACGAATTTGTTTAGAAACATTTTAATTTTACTTGTTATTATTATATATTTATTGTCGGTTTTAGACGTACACTGGGAGCATATTAGTGGCGGTAAATCCTTATAAAATGTACGATATGTATGGGTTGGACATGGTAAAAAAATACGAGGGCCAAATTTTAGGAACATTACCACCGTGAGTAAAAATAAAATATTATTTTGAAGCCAATGAATGAAATATATTAAATCATGTTTTTCTTTCAGTCATTTGTTTGCAGTCGGTTCTGCAGCTTACGGAATGCTTCCAAGAGGAAATCAAGTTGTCGTAATTTCTGGTGAATCGGGTTCTGGTAAAACGGAATCTACTAAGCTTATAATGCAGTATTTAGCAGCTGTTAATAAATCATCATCCAATCTCATTACCGAACAAATTTTAGAAGCGTCTCCATTACTGGAAAGTTTTGGTAATGCCAAAACAGTGCGTAATGACAACTCATCCCGGTTTGGAAAGTTTTTAGAAGTCCATTTCAAACAGTACGTAGTAGTTTTAAATACATTAATAATTAAAATATGAATGGCATATATCTAGAATGTTGGGTGATATACGATTACGGTGAGCTTATCTAAACAAATTATATTTTTTGTACCTAAATTGGTATGATTGTGATAACTGATAACGTTTAATGCTACGTTTCCATGTTGAAGTATTGGTGAAAGAAAGTTTGTTTGCAATTTCCCTAAATTGAATTAAAAATTTAGCAGCTTCGACTTAATATTGGGCATAGTTACTTGATTAAGCACCTAGTAACTTTTCTTTTGCCATTTTCCTTTAATATTTGCTGTTTGATCTGTTCGTACAGAGTATATTATTATCGATATGTTCATCGAAATTCTCACGAATATTTTGTCAGACGTCGTTTTAGTATACTGACACTGCAATTTGTATTTATGTACATACTCAACTATTCTATGTATTTATAATACATTTTTCCGCTGACTCTAAATCGATCTATTAATTTATGTTGACGAGAATTAAATCTTTACCACTTTTTGATAAAATTATTTAATTTTAATTTTCCAATAATAGTAAATAAAAATATTGAACAATATAAATTAAATTCGTGTTTATAAACATTTCAATATTAGTTTATAAATTATGCACTGCATTAAAGTACTATTAAATTCATATTATAAGTTTTCATAATCAAAGCAGTAATAAAATATTCTACTTTTAAATGTTTTTAAATTTAATGTAACCATTTAAAAATTTGTTCGCAAAACCATCCGCAATCGTATTCTTAAAAATATCACCCCAATAAGAATTGTCAGCAATCGTAGAACTCTGAAAAGACTTTAAGTTTGAAAAAACCAAGCACAGCTATTATTATTTTACGATTTTATTTAAAAATAATTTATGTAAATATTGCAATTTCAGAGGAGTTATCTTGGGTGCTAAAGTTACAGAATATCTATTAGAAAAATCAAGAATAGTTACACAAGCTCCTGAAGAACGAAATTATCATGTTTTTTATGAACTATTGGCGGGTCTTGCTGATGAGGAGAAACTCAAGTACGGTTTGTTATCGGCTGATAAATATTTTTATTTGAACCAAGGCGGAAACTGTGAAATTGATGGAAAATATGATGGAGAAGATTTCCAATCACTTATGTCTGCGATGCAAGTTCTCGGATTTACATCGGAAGAACAAGACACAATATTTCGAATACTGGCGTCAGGTAAAAAATATTATAAAATAATATATTTTTGTACATTTCAAATGTTAATTGATTTATGTAATTGGTTTTATCGCTTTATTATTTATTTATTAATAAATAATAATTTATTTTATAATATTCTAAAAATATTTGAATACATTTAATAAGACTTAAAAAATGTAAGGTACAAAGTTTAAATTATCCTTTTCCCCAAAGAAAACTATTTAAAAAAAAACTCAACTTTCATTAAGTATAATCGTAGCCTAAGTTTTCTTTCTATAAAAATGCTGTATACGTTTTCCATGTTGACCTAATAAATGGTGATTCTAAATAGTAAACACATAAAAATAGCACGCATCATTGTAAAACCTTCAATACCTTCGTCTTTCTGCTTAGAATCTAAAATTTTTTAGACTAACGTAAAATTACAATAAATCAATTATTTAGGGTTTTCATTCTGAAAATAAACAAGTCATGCATACGTAACATACATTGCATAATGTATGTATCTACTGATTTGTGTACGCATCAATATTTGCACTTTAATCACGGACAAAATTAATATTTATTTAAATTTTTTGTGTAGTTTTACACTTGGGAAATGTTTATTTCCATCGTAAGCAGCTAAAACACGGACAAGAAGGCGTTGAAATTGGTTCTGATGCAGAAATTAGATGGACAGGACATTTGCTTCGATTAGATGTGGATGGTATCAAAGAAGCGTTAACAACAAAAACCACTGTTTGTGTTAAATTATTAATGATCTATTTTTATTATTAAAATTTATTTATAATTTTTTATTTTTTTTGTTGTACTTAGGAAGCGCGTAATGAACGTGTGTTGACAGCACTAAATATTGATCAAGCTTTGGACGCTAGAGATGCATTTGCCAAGGCTTTATATAGTTCACTTTTTACATGGCTCGTGGCTAGGATTAATCACATTGTATTCAAAGGAACCAAAAAGACGACAGCTATATCAATTTTAGATATATTTGGTTTTGAAGATTTCAAGGTAAAGATAAACCAATCAAAATAAAATACATTACCGATCAAAAATTAACTAATTGAAATACTGTTTGGTTTTAGGAAAACAGTTTTGAACAATTATGTATTAACTATGCCAATGAAAATTTACAAGTGTACTTTAACAAGCACATATTTAAATTAGAACAACAAGAGTATGCTAAAGAAAAAATTCAATGGCAAAACATTGCTTATAATGTAAACACAATACAATAATAATAAACTATTATACACTATTATTACTTTTTGAAATCTAATGTTTAACCTATTATCGGTTTTCAGGACAATTTGCCAGTGATTCAATTGCTATCGAAAAAGCCTGTTGGCATATTGCACCTTTTAGATGACGAGTCCAATTTTCCACGTGCTACCGATGTATCGTTTTTAGAAAAATGTCATTACAATCACGCATTAAACGAACTATACTCTAGACCCAGATTAAATGGTCCGGAATTTGGTGTTCGTCATTATGCCGGACCGGTGTGGTACAACGTTGATGGTTTTCTAGACAAAAATCGCGACACTTTAAGGCCTGATGTCGTGCAACTTTTAATATCTAGCTCTTTACCTGTGAGAATTCATATTATTTGTATAGTGATTAATTTCTAGCTTTTCTATATTGTTTGTCCCTAAATGATTGTTTTTAGATGTTGAGCAAAATGTTTAGCTCTTTACGGAATAATTTTGAAGCTTCAAAAACATTAAATAAGGCCAACGGGAGATTCGTTACCATGAAGCCGAGAACGCCGACTGTTGCTGCCAGGTTTCACGATTCACTTCAACAACTCTTAGAGTCTATATCTGGGTATATTTTTAACGTGCATTTAAATTTTGTGTCATCAAAAAATTAATATTTTATGGTTTAGATGCCATCCGTGGTTTGTGCGCTGCATTAAACCAAACTGTGAAAAAGTTTCGATGAAATTCGATATGCCTACGGTATTGGAACAACTCCGATATTCAGGAATGTTGGAAACAATACGGATCCGTAAGCTGGGTTATCCGGTGCGTATGAAATTCAGCGAATTTGTTGATAGGTATCGCGTTTTGGTGCGAAAACGAAAACTTCCGCCAAAAGGAACGCCTAACAGGTATTTAATATATTAATATTATTTAAAAATTAAAATGATCAGTTGAATAGTAATAATATTATAATAAAACAATTTTTTATCCGGGACACTCTTTAGGGAAATCTGTCAAACAATTTTGGAAAAACATTCGGACGAATATCAGTTGGGCACGAGCCGGGTATTTCTGCGGGAAAATCTTGAACGGCACTTAGAACGGGAACGAGCTGCCATTCTGAACACGGCTGCAATCACGCTCCAGCGAAACGTCAGAGGATTCCTCGCCCGGACCAGGTATACCGCAAAAAGACAGAGTGCGATCAAATTGCAAGCGTTCGTGCGTGGATGGATGCAACGAAGACGATACGAGACTTTGAGACGTGGTGTGGTTAAAGCGCAAGCAACTTTCAGAGGTAGACGGCAGCGAAAACGATATAACCAACTGAAGGTATGTACAAATACAGTTGATACGCTCGTGGTATTAAATCTCAATTGTGTTCAATTCAACAGGAGGAAATGAAAAGAAAAGCTAACTTGGCGAAAGAGAGGGCTAAAGTCAAGGCTCAAAAAGAAGAACAGGAGAGAAATGCTAAATCACACGCTGTACCGAGTCTCAACGCATTAGATATTCCAGCGGAACTCGCGTTAATATTCAATAAAATTGAAGGTAAATAATTTTCAGACGTGAATAAAACTTATTATTATTTAAATATATGTATAATATATTATTTTTCCGGGTCTATTTATTTTTTCTCTGTAATGCTCCATTGAAAACAAGGGGGTTTCCTTTCAATATTAGCATCCAATTTTTTATTTGTAAACCTCTACTTTTATTTTTGTGATTTATGTATTATGGTGTTCTATTAGTATTTTATTATTTTGGACTTCAATTTCTAGAATAATGTTAAGCAGTGACTAGATTAACAATATTATTTTAAATCATTTTTTAATTTATGCTTTAAACAAGGCTATATAAATTTTAATTTATATACAAACGTTTTATTATTGGTATTTTCTCAATACTTATTACAAGGAAAGTACAACATACATTGTAATTATTAAGGCTCATTTGAAAAATGGTTCATTTTTACGATTTTTGTTGTTATATTGATTTTAAATTAAAACAGTTTATTAATTACAAAAATTATTTTTTCATCTGAGATTTAACTTTTATATGTACTTATAATATATTCTAATTATGACATTAATTAGATAAATACTTTAAAACATAAATTAGCAAATAAATCTTATTAGTTTTATCCGTTTTGTATATACTCGTTTGTTATTATTTTTTTTTTATCTTAAATTAATTTTATTGAATCTAGGAATACTTTGTAGTACCTATTCAAAGCTTGTGAACCTTTCATTGGAACTACAATTTATACTACTATATCCATAAAATGAAATAGTTGCTCTAACATAACCTCTCTCAGTCACTCAAATCCTCACTTTCATACTATACAATCATTTTGCGCCCAATTTTATCTTAGGTATATAAAATTTGGTAAGTGAAATTAATTTCTTTTAGCCAATCCTAGATGCATCCCTAATATCTGTTTTAGCTTTTTTTCTTTAAAAATAATAATATATATTGATCATTTTTTTTCTAGCATAAATATTAATGATTCTCTAATAATACGATTTATAATCAGTGCTTGAAAATATTTACTAATGCTTTTTGGGTTACAGAATGGCAACCTTTACACAATAAAAGACAATTGGTGAAAGTAGTCGGTCCAATCGTTGAGATTCAAGAACAATATACTCTACCAAATGATATTGATCAACATGCATTTTCGAAGTTTACAAATATTTATTTCAAAGTAATATACACATAAAACAATATGTTAGCAAAAAACAGTATTTAAAATATATTATTTTTTTGTTTTAGTCGCACGTATGGGGAATGAAAAAAGAACCCATAAAAACACCATTTCTCCACAAAAGTAAAGATTCCGATTACATGGATTCAATCGCGATTTTTAAATTAATACTAAGATTTATGAACGACACGTCATTATCTCCTAAAAAAGAACAGGCGTTGGCAGATTACATCATTCACAAAGTAAATAATTATTTTTTTATTTAATAACCAATTGTATTTATATGAACCATTTAACAATTGTTATGCATACCTAATATTATTTAAAATCTTACTCGATTAAATAGTTGTTTTATTAATGTTAATAATTTATTTTAAATCTATTTGTTCCATAATACTGTAACATTTATTCATAATATTAATTTCCTAATGACAACATTATTTGCTGCACATTTAACAACCAATTATGATGTTATTACCTCATCGACTGTTTAACAGCGTTAATAGTAATTTATTAAATTAGAACCTATTATTAATGTATTATTGTGTCACATTAAATGTGCATAGCATTCAAACTCGCAATAGCTTACAATATTCATTACCTTCCTATAAATCAATTATTATTTAACATAAAATGAAACATTTCTATCAAAAAAAAGAATAATAGACAATAAAAACTATGAAATATAAAACCACAGAATGTATGTAATGTCGAATAAGAATATTTATATAAACATTCCGTAAATGTTCAAAAATTACTGATGATTATGTTCGTTTTACCACTTATTTAACTATAACAATATAAACTTTACTTATGTTTTTATCTATACCAGGCTATAACATTATTTTTATTTTTATTTTTATTGCCTAGCTATTAGTCGATTTAAGAACAAATCTATTTTTATTTAGAGAATTATTACAAAAGACTAGATTGCGTCTTATTCTCTGCCCAAATTAAAGTCATCTAAGAGCTAACGATCGAAATACCTTCCATGTGCGCTTTTGTCTAATTTTATTGACTGTTAACCATAGATGTATATTATATTTATTTAAATTTGCATATAAATATAAACACACAACTTGAATGATATTTATTTTTTTTTGTAATTTATAATTAATGTCTACACTTTACTTAGGGTTTGGCAAATGAACGACTGAGAGATGAAATTTTATGTCAATTGGTGAACCAGACGTGGCGTAACGATATTGAAGCAAATAACGAAAGATGCTGGTTGCTGATGGCCAGCTGTCTTTCGGCGTTCCCCCCAACCGGACCACTATACAAATACTTATTGAAGTAAATAAAATGAGACACACTAACATTTAATTATTCAGTTAACATATTTTGAATAACATTTTTTTAATACCTAAACTTACACCCCCCCCCCCTATTCAAAGCTACGCCACTGACACACTATATAAATAATAATAATAATAATAGTATTACGAAATCGTTGTTTTTGCGAACGGAAATCGATCAAAAAGGTTTTTTTTCTTGTAAAAAAAAAATTTTTCTCCCATTTTGTTACAGATATGTTTCCGATCATGGTTATGACGGCTACAAAAGCGTGTGTCAGAGAAAGCTGCTATCGGGACACACCTGCACGCCGCCTGCCCGGTCTTCAGCTCCGTGTTTACTTGAATGGCGGGCTAACTTGAAGAAGTTCAACACTGCGTTAGAATTTACAATGCCCGATGGAGAGACGATGACCGCTGGGGTAGAATCGTGGACCCGATGCCACGTGGTTGCTTCCGCGCTATTAGCCAAGAGGGGTATCGCTGAATGTAACGGATGGACCGTGGCGCTAGACAACGACCAGAGAAATGGATTCGATTATGTGTTCGACTCCATATCTGAGGTGGAAACTCCACCTGGATATCCTGTCGTCAGACAGCCGCCTCATTCGCCGCAACCGTCGTCAACGATGACTCCCATTTCAAAGGTATTGTGTACAATTACTATATGTTTATATATGAATATATTTTCTGTTTGAACTTAGATTTTTATTATTTACTATATAGGTAGCTGATTCTTTTTCACCCTTTAAAATGACAACCCTCAAACTTTCTATTTTGTTTATTTCTTTTTCACCTTAACGTCGATTATACTTCATGAATATCTTTTTTCCCATCGAGCCGCATCGATCTCATCTTTCTCCATTCAACACGTCCAATGCACAATATTAGTTTTATTTTTTTGAATTATTAAAAAATCAATAATATACAATAATATACACGCATTCACTAATTTTAAAACTGTGTTTTCGGTGCCAACAGGTAGAACCCATGTCTGTGAATCGTCGACCGACCGTACCGCCACCTCAACCACCAATGATGAAACAGGTAAGCCAGAAATTCTATTTAATGACATTTAATTGTAGACTACCGTGGATGTGATGTAAAAATGGTTCGATATTGCTCAACGTTATAATATATTATGATTTAGTAATATCGTTTACTAAGAAATATTAACTCGGTTTTTATAAGATGAGTGACCATGTTATATAATTTGCCCTAAACGAGCGAGTTAAATGAATTGTCTTCGGTTAATTACGTTCGTCCTAGAAATAAGAATTGAATCGTTTGAATCGTAAAATATTTTCTATCATAGTTTTTTCATTGGCTCATCTGTACATTAAATGTATACAGGTATAATATGAATAGATGAATGATGTTTGAAGGAAAGATCTAATAGTACTCATTATATGACATTATATAATTAATTTAGTAATTATTCTTAAAACTCGGTATCTTGAGGCGTTGTTTGTATGATACAAATGTTTTGTCTATGATGTAAGTTTTGACTTAATGAAAAAAAACTAACAGATTACTAAAATTAACTTCTAGTTATTTAGTAGTTTAAGGAAATTATATACGTGTTTTAATTGCCCTGTACTATTTTATCTAAAAATATATCTTTTTAATATTTATATTTTTTTATCTGTTTTTTTTTTTTTTTTTTTGTATTTCCAATATTTAGCAAAAAGTAAGATCAGTATCTCGAGATCATAGCGTAGAAAACGGTCTTTCACGGCAATCTGCTTTGAACGACAGATATTTCGAGAAGACCAGTCGATCCAGAAGTCTTGACAATTTAATAACACCGGTGAGTAATGAAATCGATTTATCATAGTATCATATTATTAATGTACTATAATTTAATGTAACTTTATAAAACATTGCAATATATTCACTTTAGGTACCGCAAATCGCGATTGCTCCGAAAAAACTGGATTCATTGGGCTTATCGCATAGCAAGCTTAACGAGCGATATATGTCAATGGAGCGTATACAAGAAACCGAAAAAGATACCGACAGCGAGGACGAGAACGATGATGACGATGACGATGACGATGATGATGATGACATTGCCAAGTCTGTCGATGACGATAATTTAGAATCAGTCAGCCAAAGGGGTGAAACAAGAAACTATAATGGGTAATTTTATTGTTCATACATCTTATTATTGTCTAGTACAATCTTTTTTCGTTTATTAAAATTAGTAAAAAATTTACAGCGCATCATCAGATGTGATGTCTCATAGTCAAATAGACTTCGACTATCCAGATATTAATGCTAGAAGTGAAGACGATAAAGGTTCATACATAAAGGGCCATCCTAGGTAAAAAAAAAAAAATACATTTCATGACTCATAATAGTGTAATATATATTTTTTAAAACGCATGCACTTATTTCAATCGAGGTAATGGTTATTAAATAATAATAATAACTAGCAAACTTACTAAGATATTACTAAACAATCTAAATCAGCTATTATAATAATACTATACGACTATCATTGAAAAAATAATAAAATGACTGTTATTTTTCACAGGTTCATAAAATCACAGTATGCTGGTAAACGTGGTTCGCACTCTATTAAGTCACAAATGGATAACAAACATTCTGACAAGTCTGAAGCTAGGAGCTGTGCAATGTCTGATACAAGCGAAGCTCCATCTTTAGGTAACTATATAACATAATATTTATTTTATTATAAATTGCACTCATTGACAATGCAATAAAAATATAAACATTATCATGATTAATGCGAGTGCATTAATAAAATTTTAGTAAAAATCAGAATGATACTTGTACAATGTACATACGAATCAAACTAAAATGAATCAGTAAAAAGAAAAAAAACTAATTATCTAATTGACAATTGTTTTTACCAGTCTTAAGTTTTCCTAAACAAACGAATCTAGTTTTAATAGAAAAGTATTCAAATTTTTGACTAACAATATTCTCACAGTCATGTGAATGGTAAACAGACAGTGCTAACGGATATTTTGACCTTGCGTTATACATGAATGTATCTAGATATACGTACATAGTATAATTATTATTACAGTTGCACAAAATAAGTGTTATTTCTAAAGACGCACCACAGCGGTGATCCAAGGCAATTTTCTTTCTATTTTGATGACACTAATTTACAGCCTTACACTTTGTTTTTACCTTCTCGCCGTAATTATAATCATATAATATTACAAAATTATGTCGATTTCTGTTTTCGATTAGCATCGCACGTTAGACGGGTACGCGTGCCCTCGCAGGCGTCGGATGTAGATCAATTCCTCGACGATCTGTTTAATCCAGTTCTGGACCAGCTGTCTGACGCCAGGTCACTAGCTGCGTCCATCAAAGGTTCATCGAAAAGCAAGTCCGTGGAAGACTGCGAATCTTTGGACTCTCGCGATTTCACTAGGAGAATAAAGGGCGGAGGCAATCGATCGATCGAAAGCAGTCGGGCATCAAGGTCTAATGAGAGTCTGTTGCAAGATGGAGACTTTGAACCATCGTTAGACATCTCGATGTTCGCACGGACCGTGAAAGGCGGTGGTCGAGGCGTTGCCTCTCAGCAACAGGTATTAATATACAATATAGTATGATATATTAACGTCAAAAAAAAAATAATGGGGTGAGCTTTTTGCACCCTGTTTTCCATATGGAAAAACAGTATTTACATAACCATAATCTAAGGCGACGGAATTGCCTCCCTAACGTTTTATAGTGAGAGCAAATATATCGGCCTTCCCTTTTTAAGCTCATATTCATTGAATATTACAATAGATTTTTTTTTTTTTGTTTTTAATCATTATAGTTAAGGTTGAATTTTTCAGAGTACGCCATATAATTAATAATTATTAATTACCATTAAAATAGTTTATGTTATATAGATATATTATTGATGCATTATTTGATATAAGTAGATGGATATCACCTGTTATAATATTATTTTTATTCATAATAGGTTAAATATAATATTTATTAAATTTTCCGCCCCGCTTCTCACCCAAAAAAAAAAATAAAAAAATAATAACTCAAATTACGCCACTGGCCACTCCATACCCTACATATAAATAACATTGTTATTATGAATGTGTCTTTATCGAAAATTGCAATATTACTTCTCTAAATATTTATTGTGTGCGTTTATATTTTTGCAGAATGGTTCCGGACAACCCGGAAACGCTTCGTTCGGCATGTCACCACTGATCGGCTCGCCACCTGTTTTGCCCACCATCCTTTCGCCGCCGTCGTTACTCATGCCCGCTATGAACTCACAGAGCATGTTCAACACTCCGAACGGTGGTTAGTCTTGACGCATTGTTTGCGTTCAGTTTTTTTTTTTTGTTTCTAAATGTTTGCAACGACAACGCGGTATACGCAAAACGATACAATTATTATTGTTGTTATTATTATTATTATTATCATCATTAATACGGTCGCACAAGATAGAAACAATGGCCTGAGAGAGTTCACATGTAGACGACGGATGCCGCGATGCGTGCGCTCTAAATAAATTTCTCCTGCAGCCCCGTTTCCTGCTGGCCACGCACCGCCGACGTCATTCGACGGGTCGGCGCGCAACGCCGTCAACGCGTCGCGTAAATAATAATAACATATTATCGAATCCCGTACGTTACGACGATAATAATAATAACAATAATTGTAAAATTTTGTGATTTACTCGCGTTCGCATCGATTGTTGTACAATTTATTTCACATTTCGTTTTTTACGCCCATTGTTTCATAATAATAATAATAATAACAACGATAATATGGGATTCGATTTTATCGCAGCAGGTCTCGGCGTACCGGCGAACACATCCAACACCACTAGCAACGGGTCGTCGGGAGATAGCATGCTCGCGTACCAAACAAATTTACATCAGGCATTCTTGCAATCCGCCATGGCGCAAAACATCCAAATTCAACAGCAAATACTCGCGCAGAATCAAGCTCTCCACCAGTTACTTCAACAGCAACAATTATTGCCACCGGTATGTGTTACCTCAGACAACAAAGTGTACCCGGCGATTCCGTTTTTATCATAAAATTTTACGCGTAATATGTTCATTGGTACTTATATTGAGATTATAATTTAAGCATTGACAAATAACTTAAAATAAATAACTCCCTAAAAATAAAATAAATAAATAATGTCTCATATATTCACTCGTCAGTTCGTATTTAAAGTATGCAATAATCAAATTTTCATTTCCGGAATGGTAAAAGTACTGTGATAATACAACTAGAATACTATTATCAATATTATGGATTATAAATCTTGAGGAAACATTAATTCAATCATTTGTAGTGGGTTTTAAATATACACTATGTTATACTCGTATTATTATATAGATATATTACTTTTAAAAACGTACATAATTTATTAAAAATTATTGTATAGTACCAAATAAAACGTGATTAATAATTGTAAAACAATGCCATTTGTTGTTGTTCCACTTTTTTAGCTTCCATTGAACATTAAAAGACTGGAAGTAATAAACATTGAAAATTTGCATACGAATAGCACAATGTTTTTATTTATGTTATTGTCCCAATGAATGGTTGTAATAATATTTAATAACACAATCTAGTGATTTTAACGTACGCATTGCATGTAAACAGAGTAGTAACAATTCCTCTAATTATTTATTTAAGTATTAAAGTTGAAAATTAACAAAATATTATATTCATTTTAATCCATTTATATTGTAGGTTGGTACTGAAAATTCATCAGGCGTCTGGAACAATTCACCTCCTAAACATAAGTCTACACCTACAAATAAGTCTCAAGTAATTACTTAATTATAGTCTAAAGACTACCCATATTATATATGAACATTATATAATGTTTACTAAATACATTTTAGGGACTCCGTGCTGGATCACCACATTCAACGTTTACGAATGTTTTGAGTGAATTAAAGAGTAGAAAATCATCTATGGAATCTAACGTTGGAAAAGTAATAATATTTTACCTATTAATTATTTCTTTAATATTCGAATATGTATATTATTTTATGGGACTATACTTTTTGTGTATTTAAATCGTATAGAGTTCTGTACCTCCACCACCTCCTATGCCACCACCACCAGATTTATGCGATCCTAGCGAAGTAAGGCCATTCATGGATCCATATGGCCGAGCAAAAACTGTGCGCATTGGAAAATGGAGATGGCCACCACCAAGTGATGGCACTAGTAATGGTGTACCCGGTGAAATTAACGGGTTTCCATCACATCAAAGTTTTTTACAATTTAAAATGTCCAAACATCAACAAAATCAAAGACATAAGCAATCACAAGTAAGATTAGATCATAATATATGGATAGGATTTAATTTTGAAAAGAACATTTTATGTTTGAAAATTATTAAAATTGTTTACGAGTTTTCTTAGTTTTCAAATTTCAAAATATATTTGTCGAATATAATAAAATATGTTAATAACTATATTAGAGTTGGAAATACTGATCTAAAAATGTAATCACTAATCAAATCATGTTATATCTAATTATTTACTAGGACTCAAGTCAAGATGGAGATCTGAATGGAGTCGAATGGGAAGAGTACGAGATACAACAGCCCGAAGCAATGAAGCAACCGTCACCTAAAGAGCAAACAGAAATCCACAAATCGTCGTATAAATCATTGGAAGTTGGCGCGTTGAGACCTAGTCCAGGCAGCGTAGGTAAATTAAGGATTAGCAACGAAATGAAACACAAGCTAGAAATGGTGACAGCTAACCACAGTCTACGATCGACGACCAGCAAGCCCAGACCACAAGCCATGAATAATATGCCTACGCCTATACCAACGGCCGGGAAACTAGACACTGATAGACGATTACTTTTACAGCAACAACTCGGTAAGAAAGCTTATTGAAATATTAAAATAAAGTAGTAATAAGCCTTTTAAGTAACACGTAAAGAATTGTTATAATCAAGCATATGACAATAGAAAATTAAAGTAAGAAAAAGCCAATTGGTATAGTTACATTCCCGGAAAACACTTGGTATTTTTTTTTTCGTATACTCGTAATTTTAATATGCTTCTCAGGCACACGTAAGATATATGGTATTGTGCATACCAAACGCTATGACTATTTAAATACGAATTAAAGACTACACAATTTTTATTTTTTATTTTTACTAAAATGCATATAGTAAATTATTTTCAAACTTGTAAACTTCAAAACAGTTAAAATTAACATGTATAAAAGTGGGTATTTAAAGAAACATTTATTATGTTATGATTCAATTTTTTTTTTTTTTTTACATTGGGTCTCGTAATTATTTTTGGCAAAAATATCGTAAATTTAAGAGCGGCCCTATTCGTGGTGATTTAATTTTAGCAAACAATTATACATTATATTTAAAATATTTTAAACTAAATATTTGAAAACAGAATTGTGTTTTTTCCTTTTATTTAACGTCAATGTTATTTATAGCCGGACGATGGGGTAGTGTGGACAGTGTTGATTCTCAGAGCGTGGTCAAAGAGGACGCTTCAGATGTTCAATCAAATAATGTGATACGCAATCAAGTTGAACGAATAGAGAACTCTGGTTGGCGATTGCCACCACCACCGATCACCCCATCTAGATCTAATAGCTTTTACAACCAAAACATGTAAGTTACTGCATTAAATAGTTATAATTTTTTACGATCGCATTAATAAATTATTCCTACATTTCGACCGTTTGTTTAAGCGTACACATTACACCTATAATATAATTTTTTCACTACTAAATATTTTTATTAGGAAAAAGAATAGTACTGGTCCTCCGGCTCCCATACAGCCTGTGACGCGCGAATACGATCAGAACAATATGTTCCGGAATGCAGTTCCGAACAACTACACTGCCGAACCACAGCACGAGATCGAGAAAGGCCCAGAGTTCAACGGTCGTCCTGAAACAAGAATACAATCGCCTATACAGAATGAAGACGGACAATCTACGAAACTGCTGCAAACGCCAGCCAACTCTTATTTCACTTATAACCGCGTACCGTGGAAATTAAATATCCGGAAGGAAGTGAGTATTGCCGTCTACCGTGCGTGACACGCGTTGGACTCTGTCCGAGTGAAATGATTTATTTTTCTGTTGTTTTTGTTAGGTTTTCACCCCTAAAGAATCGATGTCTAGTCCGCTGGTATTACATTTGATATTCAGTCAAATAGTCGGCGACATGTTCAACAAATTCCATTCGGTACACGCCAGAATATCCGCCGATGAACGCGAAGAGATGTTAGACGTACGTATAAATATAAAAAAATTTATCTTTTTAAAACGATTTGAAAATATGATTGTCAAATTTTTAAAATCGATCTATTAGTACCATATAAAACCAACTAGAAATAATTGTCGTAATGACCGTTTAACATGAAAATGTTTTAGTTATTGGATCGTTTTGGAGTGACAGCTAGCAACATGCAAACGGGCCATCACAAAGCCAGTACCAAACGTTCCATCGTTGAGCTGGCTCGTCAATGGCCATTGTATTTTTCACGCATATTTCCGGTTTCGGTATGTTTAATATTATGTGTCATATATGATTATAATTTATAGCTCATAAGTCATAATCGTAATCCAGTGAACGACGTAGTGTATTAAATATGTTTCTTATAATAATGTTAATGTAGTGTGGTTATCAGCACAGAGAAGTCGAATATTTAGCCATTGCACACGCGGGCCTTCATTTACTACGCAAAGAAGAAAACCAATATCAAATTATGCAAACATTAACGTGAGTTAAAACTAAACGTTTTTTAATTCTCAACAATTTTAATTTTTATCGATTGTGTTTCGCCAGGTTTGAAGACATTGCCGATATCTCGATGGGTAAGGCTGGAGGCTCTGTACAGCTCACTTTAATGTCGGGTGAAACAATACCGTTCCATTCTAATAGATCACGACAAATACACTCAATGATGAGTTCATTTTGGAAGGACGCTGCGCCACTTGGTCGACTTCCCCGTCAAATGGTAAAAGAAGTATAATATTTTTAGTTAATTTGTCCACAGCATGTACATTCATCTGCATTTCTTCTATCTTTTGTTTTTATTTTCATTAACTAAATCGTATACATCTTATAATTTTAGGATGACAAGATCCGTGCAGCTGAATACAAAGGTAAATAAATAAAGTTTAATTTTATTGTGGTTACTATATAATAAAATATAAAATATTTTATATAGTACAGATTACACTTTTGTTATTATTTTTAGGGTGGCAACAAACAAATACGAAATATTCCAAACCAACTTCACCGTATAAACAACATGAATCACCACCTCCTATTCACTTTGTATGAACAAATTAACCTTTTTAAAAAAATAAATAAATTCTGATGATTTTCACTAATGTTTGCATTAAAATATTTTTAATGTATTTACCTACAGGCTGCAGATGACGGTAAACATTCATTACTTCAATTTGCAATGTATAATTTCAGACACAGTTCAGAGAAGTAATTGAAATTATTTATCAACTATTTTTTTTCAACAAAAATGTATGCAAATGTTTTTTTATTTGATATGCCTTTAGGTTTGATATGCTAAAATCGGCTAATGGAGAAATAAACGGTTCATTGAAAGTCATACAAAACTCCAAGATGAAGAATGACGATTGGACGTGGAAAGAACAACTGGAGATGGTAAAATACACAAACGTACCCATATCCGAATCACTGTTAAAATTAGATTCGGAATTAGACGCACTGGCCATCGAATGCTTCGAGTGCGTTATGAGGTACATGGGCGATTTGCCTACAACACCAGAGTTCACGGAAGTCAAATGTGTTTACACCATTCTTATGGTATTGTTTTGAATACCGTTGAGTATAAAATTTAAACATAATACTACGTTTTACACTTGTATGTATTTAGCATTGCCATAAATTCGAAAGTTTGAGAGATGAAGTCTACTGTCAGCTAATGAAGCAAACGACCAACAACAAGACGGAAACATGTCAACGGGGATGGCGTTTGCTCAGCATAGTCGCAGCGTATTTCACGTGCTCTGAGAATCTGAGACCTTTCTTGCTGAAGTATTTGGAAACGGCTGCTTATGATAAAAGGAGAGCTTTTCACGGTAATAAATAGTAAATAATATTAAATTATATTTTGTCATGTTTACATAATGACGTATATATACAACATTACGCTATTTATCTGATTTCAGTTAACAGAAAATTTTTTAAATTTGACATTTTCTAATAAGCAATTAAAATTTAATTTTTATTTATCAAAACTTTAAAATTTCGTTTGAAGTAATATTTGAAAGGGCTATAGAACATTTATTATTTTTTTAAATTTTCAATTACTTTAGTTTATTAAAAAGTTTTTATTTAACATTAACATATACAGTAGGTACAAAACTATATAGAACTCATAATTGTTTTATTAAAATAATCAAATTGAATTAATTATAAATCTCCACTCATTAACGGCCAATGTTATATTTTGCTGTACTATATACATATTTTATTAAGAAATCTGTGTGTGGTGTTATACATGATTTTATTTTTATTCAGGTACTGCAAACGTGTGCCTGCAGAATTTGCGTAAAACGTTAAGGTACGGCGGTCGAAAGAACGTACCCAGCGTCGAGGAGGTGACCGCTGTGTCGGCTGGTCGCAATTCCAAGAGACAGATGTACCGGTTGCCAGGTGGCAGCGAAACCGTGGTAAACACGAAGTCTACGACCGTAGTAGCCGACGTCATTGCGGGTATGTGTTCGCTGATCAACGTCAACGACCCATTGGAAATGGAGGAATTTTCGCTGTACTGTATCGTCGAAGGCGATGCGTTTACGATGCCATTGGCAGCGGACGAATACATACTGGACGTGACTACTGAACTACACAAAAACCAACAGGTAATTACCACATGGAGAGCGATCTGTAGTCGAACAAAATCCGTTCTTAACTGCGAAACGCGTTATTTTTGTTGTCTAGGTGTTTTACTTGATATTCTGCCGGTCCGTTTGGTATTTCCCTCTGCGACTTGACAGTCAACTATACGTCCAAGTGCTGTTCAACCAAATCGCACCCGACTACTTGGAAGGCCTCCTGTTGGTTTTACCTTTCGGTCAGTTACCCCAAGATTTATTGGTAAGTCTGCCTTTTAATTAAAATATTTAATTTAATGAACTAAGTAGTTAGTTTTTACATAATATCCGATCAACACGATTTTTTCCAGTATGAAGTGTGTAGATTAGCTGCTTTGCTGCACCGAGCAGCTGATATGGTTCAGCCACCGACGTTAAAAGAAACCAAATTTCTTTTGCCCAAACCAGCACTTATGCAAAATGAAGTGAATCCTCAGCAGCTGGTACAAATGGTTCAAAACAATTGGCCACAAATTGAAACCTTACACAGCGTGGAAGCTAAAGCTCAATTTTTAGGTAAGTAATTAGTATTAATAAAATTCTTGAATATTAGTCACAAAATCACAAGTTTTATAACCTAAATTATTAAATCATATCCGATTTTACTGTTTTGTTAATAATTTAAATCACAATATGTATGCATCATAAACTTGAATAATATCATATGGTATTAATTATTAAGTTTGAAAAACTTTCATAAAAAATGTTAGGATATAAAGTTATAAATTTTAATTTTTGATGATGAAATTATTTAAATAGTTAATTATTATTTAATTTTCCTTTTGTCAAATGTATTTTATGTAACACAGCATCTACAACCCTATAGGTAACTGAAAACACATAACCTGCAAAATTTAATATAATTTATTATAAATAAATATACCTATACTTAATAAATATGAAGCATTCTATTATAATATATTAATATATTGTATTGATATTCTTATAAGAAAGAATGCACAATTTAAGGTATATTTGTAACACATTTAAATCAATATCTTGTTTTTTATTTTTTTGTATTTTATTAGGAACACATAAATTTGTTTTCTGTAATAAACTACGTCAACAATAAAATATTTAAATTAAACCACATTTAATTAGGCGTATGTAAAATGCTGTTCCACTGAATATTAATGGCTACGCTATACCTAATTTCTGGCAAAGCCCACCGAATGTGTTTTATGTGATTACACGATACTTAACTATGGTTTTTTTTTTTAATTTCAAGACTGCAAAATCCAAAATGACAAACTCATTAATTGTACTCAAGCCCATATCGTACATTTACAACGCTCTTTCTCTGTTTCATTTAAGATTTTTGATTCTGTGTCTTTTTTTATAAAAATTATACTAAGGTCTATGATTTTTTTGTACTTTATCAGCGTTAGATTACAGGCATAGATATTGATAAATGTTATGTATATATTATAATTTCTTACTTAGTTTTCATTAAAACTACATTATTGGATAAAATATAGATTATGTTTACTGTATAGTTCGGAAAAATCGTTAATTTCATGATTTTCAACTTGCATATTTTTTTATTAAATTTTATTTATCTCCATCGCCGTTATCTTGGAGAATTCATTAAAATAAATATTATATTTCTAATATTATTTAATTTAAGAAATGAACATTAGACATATTTATCACCATGTTAATGTATTAGTATATTATATTATCTTAATTTTTTATTTTAAATGCCTAATAAAAACTTAAAAATCAATTAAAATAAATAATATCAAAAAACATTGGTTAATATACGAATAAATCTGCTAAATTAAAGTTTTCATAACACAGCAATCTGATATTACTATATGATAATAGAATTTAGGTTTATATATAATATACTTTATAAAATACACTATTAAATTAGAACTTTAAAATATCGATTACAATGACCTATTAAAAATACAAATGTTATAAGCTAATAAATTACTATTTTAAAATAACCAACTTTATTCAAAGGCTATATAAATGAAGATACAAATTAACTATTTTCAGCTTTAAAAAATTAAATTGCCCATAGATACAAATCATAATAAAGTAGGTACTGTATTTGTTTAAGCTCCCTTCAACATAGTACGATTTTATTGCGTGTACTTAAATATTGTACATTCGCTGGAAGATAAATCGTAATGACAAATTTTAAACGCTATAATATGTTTTTGGTAAGACTGTATGTTTTATTTTCTTAGCTAAAACATCACCACAGTTAAAGTTTTGAAACATACTATAAAATGTGAATTGTTTGTGTATACAGTTGAAATATGAATAAATATGCATTATATTTGAGGTACGCAAAAATATTACACTAATTTCAATATGACACGATTTATTGACATAACTTCCTAAAATTCAAATCTGAATGTTAAGAAAACCCTACTTATAATTTATTACGTTTGTCTTCCTAAAACTTGCCGCTAAAGTATCTTTAAACAAAGAAAAAAGTTTTTGACATAAATGTGTGGCGTCACGAGTGGCTATTTAACTAAGTCAACTGAATTACAAATAGTTTTATTATGTAGTAATAATATTTTACTTTGTAAATTTTTGACAGAAATTTTAAGCAAATGGCCGCTGTTCGGATCCAGCTTCTTTGCGGTCAAACGCAGTGGAGATCAACAGATATTGGCTCTGAACAGAACCGGTGTCCATTTCCTTCACATTGTTACCCACGTGAGTAGACGACTTCAGATTGAATAAACGGAAAAAATCTTTTATATCCGAGTATATACAATACCGGAAAATATAATTATTCGACGTCTTTTACGTTTTTTTAGAAAACCTTATCAACAGTGCCATTTAGTGAAGTGATATCGACTAGGAAAGTGAGAGCTGGCGAAGGTGCCACTCTCTACTTAGAGCTCAAGTGTGGCAACCTGTTCCAGCAAAGAGTGGCTAGACTACAAACTGACCAGGCCCACGAAATTGCTCGGCTCGTCAGACAATACATAACTATGCACCGACGTGAGTCTCTTTAATAATACATAGCTAATAATTCGTCTCCGACACACGTACTTACCTATGTGTCGTTTGACAATAACTTTTTGTGTTTCGTATCTTACACGCGAATATTGATACGTATTTATGCGTTGATACATACAGTCTATCGAACACTTGCGCGTTTTGTTTATTTTTGAAATATATACTTTCTATTTTTTCTTACGTTTAAAGTTTCACTTGATTTTATTATGATGAATATCGCACGTCGAGTAACGACATAACATAAAATATGTAATAAAACGATAAACGGTCGGTAAAACGTTTAAATCTAGAACTATAAAAAAAATTTCACTTTGATCAATGTGAATAAATTTGAAACTAATAATGGTATTTTTACTCAAAATAATTTTGATATTGTGACCTGGTGTGGCACAGTAGTGGTTGGCCTCAGTCACTAATGTGTTCTGAGGTCAAGCGCATCGTCCGGCGAGGCTAGCACTCGGATGGGTGACCATCCGAGTTCTTAGTGACGAATCCATGGCGCACACATATACACACACGTGTTCCAACCGTACTAACCAAACTTTACAAACAAACCTTACCCAAAAAAACCTACTGTTCTTATCAACAACTTGTGGCCTTAGTTGCCGGTCTTAAATAAAATCAATAAAAAAAATAAAAATAATTTTAATGTGTTTATCCACTCGAATATTGGATTGCTCTTTTACTTTTTACTACGATTGTTTTTTATTAAAATTTAATATAATACTTGAACTTCTATAATATGATCGACGTAAAATTAATAATAATATAATTAATATAATTGATAATAAATAATAATCCATCATCAACAAAAAGTAAAACGTGAAAAGGTATCATGTGATACACAAATGTACTAAATTTGACGAATTTAGTCCACCCGTAAAAACGAGTTTTTATTGGAATATTTTAAGAATTTAATAACATGTAGTATTTCAAACATATTATTAAAACATAATATTTTATTTTTAGATAATGTCGGTGGTCATTGAGACGACAACAACGCATTGACGAATGAAAAACATTTTTAAGTTGTGCTCAAACAAAATATAGTGTGGTAATATAAGTTATAATCTAAATCTGCATTGTTAAATAAAAAAAAAAAACTCTTATGTTTAATATCATTGTAGGTACTACAAAAAAACACAACGTACCTACTTATTAATTTCAACAGAAATTTTTATAGTAAATTTAAAAATAAACAGACCAAATACAAAAGTTAAGACTAAATTATTATACTTATTGATACAAAAATGATTACCTAATTGAGTGTAATATTAAATAATCATAGAATTATTATTTGAATTTATTTATTATTTTATTATTTTTTTTTGTTTCAATAAAATAAATCAGTTTATATTAAATTACATAGAAGTTATATTTACATATTTATTATAATATATATTGTTTTAATTTTTTTACCATTTATAATAAAATTGAATAGTATATTATCATATTTCAATTATACGGTGTCATATTTTATATTACCCCAAAATTCTAAAACCATATCTACACATACCTAATCACTTTTCAGTTATTAATCAAAGCTTTCTAAAAATCACCCAATGATATTGATGTAGCTGTAAACACATTTTGTCATCTTTTTTGTACTCTCAAAATATAATTATTTTACAGCTTTGGAATAAAAGTCTCAATACAATATAACATGTACTTTTGAATGTTTTGTATCCAAATAGTAAATCGTTCAATGGTTAGTTCGTTGTACACAATCATGATTTTATTACAATGTTTTTGAGGATCAAAATGTTCGGATTTGATTTCATGCGCTGTGTTCAAACCAACGTATTACAAGTCCTTCGCATATGTATGTTTCCTGTATCTTTATCAACTATAGTTATTTTTTTTTTATTATTCGTCCTTGGGCTATTCTAACTGTAACTCAACCTTTCCAAACTCGTGTCATTAAACATTAAACACATACGAAATTAACGGAAGATATTTAAATTAAGGTCATGTATTTTCGCAGATGATTTAATAATAGTTATACAAAATATCCAACCATCACATGAAAATATACCTGATGCTCATTAATTAATTGTGTATTGTCAAAAAATTTACTAACGGATATCGACATTATTTTTGTCAATCCTCCGTTAATATGTCAGAGTATAAACTATATACCATATTTCATACTTTAATAACTGTTTATTATTGATAATTGTAAATTTCTTTTGTAGAATTTTCTGCTTTGTCTATATCAGTATAAATACGAATACCACATTGGTATAATGTATTAAATCATTGTTTATAGTTACGTAATAAGCTAATTCGTACGATATATATTTTTTAATCCGATTATATTATTTCTCAAAGATGTAAAATATATTAAATTATTTTTATTTATTGTTTTAACAATATCAAAAAATAATGCTATATCATAGTTTTCCTCAAACTCTAAATTATATTGTTTTTGAATAAATATTTTATTTCATACATTTTTTTTTTACTTTCAAATTTAATTTTATATTGCATTTCGGATGTTTTGTATAATTTATACTGGTTTAAGAATATTTCGTTACGAGGTATAATATTACAAATAGAAAATCGAAACTAAATATTAATTCTAAAACACATCTACATTTCTCTTCTACAAAAATTTACAGAATACAATAAATATAACGTTGTGATAATGTAATAACTATTAATATTTAAAATGTACTTGGACAATAGTTATCATTTTATTAGTCACAATTCACATTGTTAAAAATCAATTAATTCAACCTGTATTTAAGTTTAAAAAATATATCTTTAAGCACGACTACGAGGAACATTTTACATTAAATATAGGAAAATTATTTTATGCATAAATAAACTAAAAGTTTTAAAAATTAGTAAAATAACTTGAAAATTGTAGGTATTGATATTAGGAACTAAGCTAAAATCCAAAAACAGACTTTACTATTATTATCAATCTGTAATAATTTAAAGTTATATGAAAAACAATAATTATTTGATATCATGAATATAATATTATTTTTTTTCACATTGTTAACTGTATATTTTATGAATTTTTACTTTTATGTTTAACCATAAAATGCATCTTACGTTTCTTATAAGATATATTTTATTGATATTATAATAACTAATTCATTATTTTCCAAAATACTGTCCTTGAAAATAGCCGATGATAATTCATGATTAAGTAATTCTAATCAATGACTTGATTCTTATTTATTGTTGCCTATAAAACCCAATTCGAAACAATTTCCTATTGTACGTAAATTTGTTAATTGTGATGAATGATTATTGGTTTTAAATATTGTGTGTTTTTTTACCATGTTGACATTTTGGATGACCACTGATCAGGTTACACGAATTTTCTAAAAGTTTCTTTTAGTAAATCATCAATTTTAAATTTAACACTAGTCGCGTGCCTTGAAAAAATAGGTAATTATACTATTTGAAAAATTAATAAAAGAAAAGAAAATCTATGAAATGTAGGACACCATTTTTGGTTTTCATAATATTTATTTTGTCATTATATTTTAATAATTATACTTACCTACAGAAAACATTAACATTTCTTATGGGATCTATAATATTATAGTTCTGTACCTGTGTTGCATTGATTATTTATTTTATTATTGGCGTTTTATAATATTTTTAATGATAATATAATACATCACTCTAACTGAAGAAAAATTCTGTATCTAATTATTTTCTTTTTAAGCATTGATAAAATATTTATTTTTCTTTGATTTATTCGAAACGGATTTGCTAGCATATACGTTCCTATTATTATTAAAATTTACGTTTTTTCTTTTATTTTTCTATCTACTTTCGATTTAATATGTATACAGTACTACTTTTAAATTCATTTACTAGTTTTTTAATCAATTTTTGAAAATATTTTTTTGAGTTTATCCTACATCGTATTTTTTATTTTGAAGTATTGTACCTGTTTTATTTGTATCGTTATTTTTTGTAACATTGTACTCCTTTATTATTGATCCATGAAATGATCTATTTTCAATATATTGTTAGACTCACTGAATTTAGTAAGCTCTCATTACTCATTTATTTTTCAATATACTTCAGTACTTTAATTTTATTTGCTCATATTTCATGTTGAATACTATAAAACTATAATGTTATTATTGTTAAATGCATATACATTATTACACATAGGTACCTATATATTTTATTAATTTATTATACAACCATATCCCTGATTGTTATGCTATACAGTTATAAAATATTCAATATTTTCTTTAAGCACCCCAGTGCAATATGCCTCTATCATATTTCATTACGCTGATATGATATGTTTTTATATCATGTATATCAGAGTAGGTAACATACATTTTAAATTCATTTTCGTAGTATATATATATATATATCAAGACATCATTATGCTAATGCGATAGGCTATACATTTTGAAGTATATTTTTATTTTTTTATTATTGATACATAGATTTTACATAAAACGCGTTTTATCTGTATAATATATTTTTGATTTTTGAGTTTTGAATATTATTATTCATTACTATATAACATTCCAAACCACTAGACCACTATCACTTACCTGCAGTCGTAATTATGATACGCCATTTCGGTCGTTGAATCATAATAACATCAAAAAACGTACCTATCTAAAATAATTTAGACAAACGTAAAGTTAAAAAGGAAAGTTTGAAATGAGTCGTTGTCATTATCGTAAACCCAGAATTACATGAATTTCCATAAAGACAGAGCAGCGAAGTGAAATGTGAGATAAAACGAATACTTAATTTTGCATTTTACCGTATCCCTCTAAAACAAATGTTAACTTATTATAAGTATGCGTTACGTTATTACAGTACATGACATAGAAACAAAGTCCGGTTCAGACTTTACATTATACCCCTTTATAAAACTTAAAACATGAACGCTAAATATGCATAACAACATAAGAGAGTTCCTATAATCTTCGCTACGTTTTGTTATCGATGGTATTGTCTACAATTCAACCATACATACGTATTTGACTTCCCCGCGGTATATATTATTATTTATTTATATATTTAATATAGTTAATAAAAATGTATAATTTAATTGGTACTATTGTTATGTGAAACATATATTCTGACGAGTGATGAATGCGTAATTTTAACGAAAACATTGGAGGTGCTGAACCCCCAATTCGTTCGAGTATTTATTTTATTGCAGATTACACGACGAACAACCTCGCCTTCTTCTCTCCATCCAATTCAATAAACATTATCCATTAATAATTATTTAATAATTACTTTGTATCGTCAATTGGTATAGCATACAATAATGTATTTATATAGAATAAGATCTATAAATTAAATAATTAACCATGCATGGCATCAATTATGAAGGTTCTCATTTCAAAATCGGAAGTGATAAGCGCACCCAAGCCTCCACCGAATCGCGCTTACTCTAACAGGTATACCTATGTAATATTGATGAATAACGTTAGAATGTGCTATTACAATATATTATAACAGTGCAGCGCACTATTACTATAGTCCTTTAGCTGAACTCAACTGACATTGAAAACAATGTTGTATTAGTAAATAGGATAAACGTGACAATAGCGGTAAATGGGAAAAAAATAAAAAAAAAAACACCTAACAAAAAAGCGCCTCGACGCTTTTGACGTGGCAGAAAACGAATAAATATCCATCATTGTATACAAGAAACAAGTTTTTAATGCGCCACCCGTAAGAAAGTAACGAGCCCTAGCTACTACATTATGTACCTACTAGTAGAAAATATTATCATTGTATTATTGTGTCCGCCGCGTTGAATCCAAATGCAAACGGACAAATTTCTCTTTCTCCGATTCATGAATATCGTACATATATATATATATTATGTATACAGACTCGACACAATATATTATGCTGTGTTTGTGTATACGTATTATATATTATTATCGTGTTCAACAGGTATAATATTGTAATAACAACGTCTTCGAATTCCACGCTCACGGACGAGTCTCCCGAACCTCGTTAGCCTACGCAGGCTGCAGGTTTTCATTTAAGAAAAATTCCTAAAGTTACACATTGTTTGGCCGAATTTATATTACCTAAAATATTTAATGCATCGTTCGCGAGATGATCCTGATTAATTATATCATATCGTTTGGCTGAAATGTTTATTCGGGTATTTAACGTATCTAATACGTTTCCTATTCTC